ATTACCAATACAGAATATTATAGCTTATAGTTTTGGTTTTGTACATAAAAAAATAATTATAATTTTGATGTATTTTGTTTTTTATTTGAAGAAAACTTGTCTTCGTTCCCAATAAATGACACATGTTCTAATTCTTTTATTAAGAAAATCTAATAATGAAAAAAAAAAGATTCTCTTAATGATTAGCGAACAGACCCCTAGTCTTTATAATGCTCAATTGTTGCAGATATCACCTCCATTGCTTTGTTTTCTTCTGTGATTTTGGCCTGTTTCAAGCTAGCTAGTACCAAAAGCATCTACATCATGAGCACTTTAATCATTTGACATCGAGTGGTCAAAGCTTGCACTCATGAAAGAAGGCTGTGCTACACTGGACTAAAGGCTTGCAACTTTCGAGGAGTACGTGTTTTGCTTTGAAGGCTGGACCTGTCTACTTTAGACAAACCAGTGCCAGCTCTTACCTTAACGAACTTAATCATTGATGGATGTTGCTGTTTGCAAATCATAGAAATCCTAAAAAGAAACAAAAGGGTAATGAGTGTCGTAATGGACTTAAATTAATGCCCGACCAAATGATCCCAGTCATCCTCTATGGTCATTCGTTGCCTTCACTCTGGTAGAAAATGAGCAAATACATGTTAGGACGGAAACCCGGCTTGAATCCGAGGGAATATCATAGGGATAGAAACATAAATCAAGAAATATCAACGAAAAATAACGTAATTCCAGAAATATCGTAGAAAGAATTCTTATAAGCCTAAACATACATTCAATGCAAGATAGGAATAATATCATAATTAAACTTGATTCAACTTGAAAAATCAATTTAGTGACTTAAATTTGATTCAACTTGATTAATCAATTTAATAACTTGTTAATTTAAAGTTTGGCTCAAGTTAAATTTATTTTTTAATTAAATTGAGAATTAACTTAATCAAAACTTGAGTAATTTAATTGATTAGCCTGTGATCTAGTTAATTAGGGTAAATTCAGTTAAAATTTAACCCGGTTAGTTTTAAGATATATTTTTAATTTTTATTCTGTTGTGATACGTCTAAGTTAACGAATTGATTCACTGGAACGAACATTGAATTTTGAATTATCCTATATTGCTATCAGAACGGTCCCCTGAAATAAATGCCCACAATTTAACCTCACTCCCATTCCATATTTTATGAATCAAACTGCCTGTACAAGAAGACATTTTGTTTCTAGCAGAAAACAAATCTCAACATCGAGCTCGTAGATTATCTTAGAATAAGCTGGCGTTTTGCAGTGAAGCCTAAGCCACAGACATTCCAAGAAAAAATCTTCACATGCATTAACAATACAAATCCCACTAGCTATATAGACTCAAATCTAATACTGTATATATAGTTTTCCCATCCTCGACTCCCTTTCCATTTGATCTCTTATCTCCTCTGTGAAATTTCTCAGATTAGAGCCACACTCAATATCCAAAATTGTCCCATTTGTTATCATATGATAAACGTCAGTCTCTGCAGCTGTTGTATCTGCAATCTGCAAATTCCTTTCCTGTAGCCATCTTCTGTTTCCCACTAGAATTGCAGTATCCATTGAAGACTGCTCTACTTCCTCAGCTGTGTTTTGTAAACTGCCTGTATTAAAAAGAAATCTTTCCTGGCGGTATCTGCTCCTTTGAGTTACATAAGAATTATGAGTCTGACGGTCCATATCACACTGTCTATTGGAGTCCGTCACTCAGTTATGAGTCCATAGGACTGAGACCCAATTCCTGAGAAGCTTCCATATATATTTGAGTCCAAATAGTCAGAAGAGTTTGTGTTTGTATTGGAAATGGAAGCAGTAGGATATCCCAAAATCTCAGGAAATAAAATATTGTACTCCATTATTCTCTCGTGTTCAAAAGTAACTTGCCTCCTGAACTAATCCAATGAAGAATTATATTGCAACTCAAAATTGTCCCTATCAGCATCATCAACTGAAAGTACTCATCTCCACATCAATTATTGTCTACATCAGCATCTGCGGACTCTAAATCACCCGACTCATTATCTTCTTCCTGATTGAGCATTTCCAAGAAGCTATCCACGGTATAGGATATATGGACTCATAATCTGGATAATGAAGTCAGTCTATTTCCACAATAATCTTCTCCATTCAAACGCAAAGTGTTGTATATTTCCACAATAATCTTCTCCATTCAAACGCAAAGTGTTGTATGTAAAACGTCCTAGGACATCGTGCCAATTAAAATTCACAAAGCTTCCATCATTAAATCATAATCATCAAATAATATTAGTATTTGTGTGTGTTCCCGCATCATATAATAGTGAAACCACTACATTAATTGAAACCACTACATTAATTGAGAAGAAAAATAGCTGATTCTCTTGAAATTTTCTATATATTAGACCTATTTTAATCAGGAAAAAGGCATCATTTTACAGAAAGTTTAATACGAAAATTAGTAGAAATTGATAAAAGGATCCAATTTAGAAATTTCTAAAACGTTTGGGATCTAATTGATAAGAGGTGTGTCTTGGAATTCAATTGACAAAACGTTGGGGGCTAATTTGAGGTTTCCACTCCTCAAATGTTGTGTAGCTTTTGGGCTTTCTCATGGTGTTCTCTTCTCTGCCTACTTTCATATTTCAACTCCTTGTCTTGCACTGTAGCTTCAAAACACTTCCTTCATTTCTTGCGTTTTTACTGTTCACTCAAATCATTCTTAAAAACCCATTAATCTTCGCTTTGAAAGCTCACTTTTTAACCCTTCATGTCTCTCCAATTCAGTGTTTTAAACATGGCTCTGTTTATTTTCTTGATTTGCTAGCATACTCATCCCTCTCAATTAATTCTTTCATAGAAAGCTCGGTGATTTTTGAAGTTGGGTTTTCGATTTATTATGTTAATGAATCCATTGTTTAGTTGCCAGTTCACATCTTTGGTGAAAGCTAGACTTTTCGACGACGGAACCGGCACACGATCGGAAGGACCCCCACCAAAAACCTTCATGAGCGTGTTAAATCTCGAATCACCTCAAAAAAGGAAAACCCCACATAAAAAATTCACAAATCAAGTATCTTAATGCAAATACAATGTTTCAATGTATAAATTATAATAAAGTACGTAAAAATAACCTTTGACATGAATTATCCAAATAATGGTCCCATCATCCATAACTGATATATTCTTGAAATAAAAATATTTGCAGAAATGAATGAGTTTTCATGACTCAATAGTAATCAAAATAAATAAATGTCAGAATAAGATTATCATACATGGTTGTATTATAAATTTTCATACTAGTGCACACCCCTTCACATCCTCCCCAAGACACAACGGTTCACATAACTATAATAACATTTAAAAAATATGTGATGGCTAATCACACCAATTATATAATTTGCGCACATATCAAATACATCATCTACGTATAACTCATGCACAAATCAAATGCACCCCATCCAAATGATACACTGTCATAAAATAATAAAATAGCAATAGAGTTATGGATAGAGTATTTTTCAATGATAATTTTCAATTTTAATAATAACAAAAAAATATTTTTATTCACAATTTCCAATGTAGTTACATATAGAAAGTATTCCATCAGTCATTACAAGAGCAATTTCTGACCAAATAAAAATAATTAAAAAAATATTATATTATTAATATTGTTGATAAGATGACACTTTATTATTTTTTAACAATTTCACTAATAATAATATTTCATCAATATATTTCGTTGAAAATTCTATCAATAAATTTAATAGTATTATAGCCGACAGTATCCTCATCATTCCCTTCCTCCTCCTTCTTCCTTCTCTTCCCCTTTCTCTTTACCTGTAAACCAAAATATCATTCCTTACCCTCTATTTTGCCACAAATCTATGTCATGTCATCACAAATTCAACCATTAAATACTTAATGTGTCAGCATTATTATGTTTGTTTAATTTTTTCAAAATATTTCCTACACCAAGTAAGTAAATCTATTCATTAATGTTCTAAATTAATTTATTGAGTTTTTTTATAGTATTTATAGTTTACTTGTATATTTAAGTATTTTACAGTGTGAATAATAAAAGTTTGAATTGTTTGTTAAGGTTTGTTTGTGATTTAAAATTTTTTAAATTTATTTATAATTTAATAAAATTTTATTTTATTTTATAATTTAAAGGTGTTATACTGGAAATAATTAAACTTTAATTTTCACAAATCAAGATTTGGTAACTATACTTTCTAGAATTTCCAAAAAACATCTATAAAATTTCTTAATTCTTCCGTTAAAAATAAGAAACTTTATTGATATAATATGAAATTACAATCAACCAATTACAATTTATACATAGGAATATAACCAAACAATCATGAAAATAGATTATAGTCTTCATTATTCAAAATCATTAGTTTTATCCTTTAATGTATTACTTGATTTTCTCCATAATTAATAATTGTATTGATTGGATTTTAATCCAAAATATATTATTTTGATTGAATTTCTTAACATACCTCTTTAAACTGGAGATTTTAAATAAGAATCTCCATGAATTTAAAATCTATATTTAAAGATAATATAGAAATCATGATAAATATTTTTAAAAATAATTTAAATAAGCTAATGTTATTATTATTGTTTTATAAATTAAGTATTTATATTAGCACATCATAATTAATTTTTGAATCTATTAAATACTCTATGAATTCAATAAATAAATAAAATATCACAATAATAACAAGCATCCGAGCACCACGCCATTGGGTCATGATCCTAATTGCAATCCAATATTACTAAAGCTAAGATAATATACAACTCTTGTGCATCATTAAAAGGTCCAAGATTTTCAAGGAAAAAAAATAAAAAATAAAAAATTAGAATGTAATTCATTTAAATTTAAACAAATATAAGTTGATAGTAATACGATTTTTTTTAAAAGGATGTACGGTGATGGTAGAAATAAAATGATAAAAACAAAAAAAAGGTTAAGAAAAGAAAGAAAATAGAGACTGACTAATGGTCGGCATGTTATTGTCTGCCAAGTCACTCAAGCTGTTCATGTCCTTCTCACTGCTGCTCTGTTTCTCTAGCATCCTTCTCTGCTTTCATTTGCATTCTTTTTCTGCTAAGACCTCTCAGATTTTCAAGTGATTGGTTGTTTAGAAAAGAGAAAGATTTCCATTTATGTAGTTCTAAACCTTTTTTATTTTATCCATTTAGCCCCTAAAGCAAAAAAAAAAAATTGGTTTACAAAGATGCAAAACACTTCCTTACTATTGCTTATTAACAACGAACTCATTATCAATTTACTGATAAAGTTTATCATTAACATTACTTAGCGTTTTCAATGTCGTTATTTCATATTGTTCTCTTCTCTGTATACCTTAACTCTTGTCTTGTACTGTAGCTTCAGAACGCTTCCTTTCAAGTTCACCAGAGCTGGACCTGAATTGCTCCGACTCACTGAGTCATTGTCGCCAAGTTGGGGGGTTTTTTGAAGGTATTTCTCTCACATGTTCTCTTCTTTCATTTCTTGAGTTGTTCATGGGCTTTTTTGGTTTGGTCAAAAACTCTCTCTATACACATCTCTCAGATTTGGTGGGTCTTAGTTTTTTACTGTTCACTTAAATCAATCTTCAAACCTCATTAATCTACACTCTGAAAGTTCACTTTTTTCTTGATTTGCTAACATACTCGTCTCTGTCAATTAGTTCTGTTGGTGATTTTTGAAGATGGGGTTTGATTTATTATGTTATTGGATCAATTGTTGGAATAAAGTTTAATTTCTATTATGTGCGATGTAGTTTAGTTGCCAGTTCACATCTTTGGTGAAAGTTGGAATTTTTCTTGTTTTGATTGTATTTGCAGTGTACTTGAAATGTGACTATGGGTTAGTTCTGGGAAATAAATGGAGTGGCCGATTTTTCAGTCATTTTCTACCAAAAAAAGGATGAATGGAATGATGCATGAGAAACAGCGTTGCTGCTGGAGAATCTGATGGTTAAGAACAGAGCTCCATAGGAAAAGGATGTGAATTTCTCTTCATTCACAGGGATAGAGAACAAAAAATAAAAATCGAGAACAAAATCGCATACATGACCATGAAGTAATAAGGCTATGTTTCCTTCCCATTCAAGAATCCAACACAGCTCCCTAGAAGCTGTGTTTGAATTTGAATGGACTAAGAATTTGGTGCATTTTGTTTGTAGTAAGTGTGATAAAATGTTTTCTGCTAGATTATTCAGGTAGTCTCATGTTATAGGTCCTCTATTTAGAAAATTAGAGAATAAATTTGTTGTCCTTTTTAGCCCTACTGAATTCCAGGATCTTAAGCTTGTGCAGGATTACTGGCAAGTTTGGAATATAACGTAGATTCCTTTTGTCAAACTTACAAATTCTAATGGATATCTTACCACGTAATTTTGACCCTGCCATTAATGACTTGGACAACACAAATATCCCAAGCTCTTACGAATTTAAAAGCAAGCCTGATGGTTGGGAAACAACAACGAAGACACAAGATGGAGATATATGGGAAATGTAACAGAGGAAGATACTCTCTTCCAAGAATTTGATCATTGAATAGCATACAGCAAATTTCAGGTGAATTGATGTTGTCATGCCATTATGTAATTTTTATTTTTTGTCTTAGGCTAGTCTTAGCAATGAATCTACTATTCAGCCTAGTCATCATCTCCTTTATGCTAAACTAGCAAGTTTTTCTGTGACTACTTGCAGATAGCTAGTTTTATCGAGGATCGCATATCTAGCAGGAGAAGACCTATTGATGGTTGGAAATACATGATAGAGGTGTTGGGACCAAATGCCAAGAAAGGGAGGGGTAGTGTTTCAAGAATACCGAGTGTATCAGATCCATCTACACAACAATTCAAGAGGGACAGGAAACTGATTTCCCACAAAGGGGGTACTTCAGCTTCTGACTCTGCTGAACTTTCCTTACTTTGTTCTTGGCCATTGTATGTTTGCTTGGTGATCAAGCAGCATGCCGTCATGTTTTCTTGATAGAGTGTTATAGAAAAGACGTCCAATAGGTTAAGCTACTCGTAGCTGTGAGGAATATAAAGCTCTGTCAATCAAGAAAATGGCAATCTAAATTTGTAAACCATCGATTCATTGTGACTGTAAATGTTGTATATGTAAAGATCTCTACGCTAGAAGATTGGTAGGGGTTTGAGAGGCTAAATGTTGTCTGGTTATTCATTTGTGACCCCCAAACTGCTCTGAAAAAATCAAAGCTACAACAGTTTTTTGACATAATGTTCATCAAACAACTTTGTTTGCCAGGACTCTTCAAAGCTCATAGGAAATTCCTTTTAGAACAGCTAGTTTCTGAATGATATTAATTCCAATCTGCAAGCATTAGTCTGAAACATCATCATAAGTTGCTATCATGGCAATGATCAATGGCAAAACATGACTTCTTAACTTCCAGATTCTCATTGCGACTTCATATCTTTCCAATTCAGGTTTCTGAATATTCGAAAGAAGTATTTGAAAAGAAGATGCAGCTTGACCAAGAGCACTAAGGCTTTCAAACCCAGATGCAACAGTAGCAACATTGCAACCTAGCTTCTCAAGCAGCGTCGGTGTCCAAGTCATAGCTTTGTTGAAATCATCAACATCAGCTAATAGAACTTGCAAGCCTCTGAAAAGAGAGTTGGAATATGAGTGCTCTGAAGATTCTCTGGATTCAGAGATTGACTGCAATGGATGGTCAAAGTTGAAACCCAAGAGCAAATCTCACGCATTCAGGAAAACCTTGAGAGTTGGGCACTATCTAGATCTTGGCTCGCATCAACTACCAAATATAACGAGGTGGGCTTCATCATTTTAGGGAGAATGCCTGCTTCTGAAATTCATATGTCTTCCGTCAACGACCTTTTTCTTCTGATCTTGTGCTCCATGGAATCTACTGCAACTTTTGAGCACTGTCTATGTTTTTTTTTCACTGTAAGTTCTGTTTACTTTAACTAGCTAATCGTTTCATTACCTCGATTAGATGTTTCTTCTATATAAAAAAAACCAATGCCTTTTCCTGGGAAATTTCATATGTCAATGAATCGATTTTGCAATGTTTTTTATTTGTAATGCCTGCAGTTGCGTGAATTGCCAGCCTGCCCAATGCGTTCCTATTCTTTGAACTATGAAATACTTTTTTTTTCCGAGAAACACAAATTGTATAACCCTTCAACTAAGCAGTCCCTTGTTCTTGTTAATGATAACCGTAATAATTTATCAGTGCATGCAAAGGAAGACCTAATTAGTATTAAGATTAAAAGCCAACAAGATAGAGGGCTGGATGTTCTCAAGAACTGTTCCCATCAGACGAGCTACAAAGGAAGTTCCAGTTAGAGCACAAATTGTATTTATTAGCACGTAGACTTCCTGCAAATGTAGTGGATATTATCTGCTCTCAACAAAAATGTCAACTTTGGAAATTAGTATTGCCGGGATTCCAACACTCACTCTTGTTTAGTCATCAACTAAGGGACCTACTTCTGTGGAAATATTTGCAATTGAATAATTCAACCTTCAGTTCCATATTCAGCACCACTTGCTGGACAATATATTCAAGTTCCCATGACTTGGAGGTGAAGGAGGAAAGGACACGCCAAACGAAGATTGGTTTTTCTTGTTGACGGTGAAAAAGAAAGATCTTTTAGGGCTAACAATCCAACAGCAACTTGGGAATCTTGAGTGCGAGAACCTTGGAACTCCAATTTCCATTAGTAAGCTGCTTCGTTTCTGGTAGGGGTTCCGCAATGTTACTGCAAGAACATGTTGACTGGTGTGCAACTGAATTTATTGGTTACTTAATTCTTGGTGTGCAACTGTAGATTGGATTGGATTGAAGTGGACATAAGAAGGTGAAGATGACTTTCTTGATCAGTTTTTTATTTCACTTAATTGGTTTGAAAAAATTTTCTTTGCAGATTTTTCTTCTCACGTACTAATTGGACATATCTGATTTGCTCGATGGTCACACCATTTGTGGACATCGATCATAAATGTGATGAGATTTATATACATGAGCATTGCTTAAATGAGAAAAGTTGATGATATATTCATAAGAACAGATATATAATCTCATATTTAAGATTTTGAGCTCCAAAACATATCTACGAGTCAAGAAAAAGAAAATTTAAACACAGATTTGAGATTGAATAAAATGGTATGAAATTACTGTTTTAGAGACGCAGCTTGAGTGATTGTAGTCCACAATGTCTATGCGCCTTCAGCTACAACCTCTCAGTTTTTCATCGAGGCATGAACAACCTTTAAAGCATTATCGCTTCGACATTTTTGGAGGGGAATCGCTTGGGATATTTCTACCTCAATGGCATTTAATTTCAAGGGGAAATTCCGTTGTTTTTCATCAACTGCACAATATAGGAAGTTCTTGATCTTGACACCTATAAGACTGAGGATACATTTTCTATTTTCTAGAAACATTTTTAGAGATACAAGTTCTTGTTCTAAAATCCGATAAACTCCAGGATTTTGTGAAGGTCCGACTACTTATAATTCTTTCTTCAAAGTACAGATTTTTTACATCTCCAAAAATAATTTAAGTGGATTTTTTTCAATAATCTTGAAGCAATGATGGTGATTAAAATATAATTTACATAACATCAAAAAATTACTCTAGCTACATCTATTCCATAAAAATCACTTGTAAAGAGTTTGTGAAAATCCAAAGTATCCTCGTAATACTTGCTTATCAAATAACAGTTTCGACAATAAGATTTCAAAGCTAGTCGGAAAGTTTAAAGGACTTCAACTACTTTACCTCTCTCATAATTTCCTTACAGATCATATCATAATTTCCTCACAGATCATATTTAATCATCATTAGGATTTTTGACTAATTTACAATCATTAAATTTGTCTTTAAATTCCTGTGCAGTTGACAAATCTAACATTTCTTGAAGTCTTTAAATGTATTACATACTATCATGAGAGACCCATACCTTGTGGAAAGTAGTTCAACACGTCTGATCATAGCTCATTTGAAGAAAACCTGGGTTTTTATGGATTTCCAACGTCAAAAGAACGCAACAGTGGTGTGGCACCACCATTGCGGCCATCAAACTTCATTGAAGTAGATGATTCCAAATTGTTTGGAGGTGGATTTGGATGGAAAGCTGTTGCATTGGTGTATGGATGTGGGTTTATGTTTGGAGTCATCATGGGATATGTTGTGTTTAGAACAAGAAGACCTGCATGGTTTCTAAAAATGGTTGAAGATCAATGGAATCTAAGGCAGGAAGAAGAAAGAAGAAATCTAGTAGAAATGCAACAAGAAGAAGCTAAACAATGCAGTCGGTATCTTCAAGTTATGTAAGTCCTTACCTTTCTGATTCTTGAAGTGCTCATAACTACAGTTTTATATTTTTTTAATTGCAATACAATTTAAATAAAGGTTGTAACTCATATTTTTATTTCTTTCTTGCAAACAGAAATGAAGGCAGCAACCTGCACATTTGTAGCCTTACTGTAACTTAAAATTTTGAGTATTTGTGGACAAGTAAGGCCAGCAAAAGATCTCAAGACCACAACATGACCTGCTGTATGCTTCACACTGTAAGTTAGAATGGCAGGGAGTTTACGCAACACAATCCCTGCAGCATCCTCGTCCCCACCGCTGTTCTCCCTGGGCAACTCTACTATAGGAATCAACTGAGTATCCAAATCAAAATTCAGAAACAATGACCGCCTAACAAATTACGTCAATCCCACCAAACTGGCTCAAGAAAGTAGCCATCCTCTCAATTTCTTCAATAGACTAAAGGAACAAAGCCTTGGACAAATTCACATTGTTTTCTCGAGTAATTCCACGATCAATCAACAGCTTAGCTTTTTCATCAAAACCAGCCAAGAACCTTGGCACAGTGGCAATCAAAAGGAGCCTAAGCTACGCTGACTCGACCTTTCCTTCTAATTCATTAAGCACAAAATATATCAACGGATCAATTTCATCAGCTATTAAACACATCCGGCCACTTCACAATTAAGCGATATAGTTCAACGGCTAATCTAAAGGTGAAACATGGTCTCGTATAGAATCTAAGGATGCAAACTTTAGACCTGGGATCTGCTTAACAGTAACCCATTTTCTCATTAAAACCCAGTACTCCAAATGTGTATCTGAACATAATATGCACAGCATGTTTGACAAAAGGTCTCTGTGAATGAAAACAGCTCACCAACTTCAATCTACAAAACAGCAGGCAAGTCGAGGCAGCTGTACTGGACTAGAAGGTGTTTAGTGAGTGAAAAACCCACAGGGCCTAAGAATCTTGATGCTTTAGATAAATTTACTAGAGTTGGCTTTTTATGGGTCGAGAGGGTTGCAAATGAAGTAGCTAAAGATTGAAGCTTTGTTGGTGATGTGTTTGTTGTTTGCAATAGAAAGGAAGAACTTGAAGAAGAAAATAATGGGTTTGCTCTTGCAAGCATGGTTGTCTTCGTTCAAATGTTCCCTTTGGATGAGCTTGTGGCCGTGGAAGTTGAAGGTTTTGATAGTGGCTTCAGCTTCACTGCTCCTAGTTTGCCTCTACTACTACTTTGGTGAATTGGGTATAAGCACATAGTTGTATGCAATTAGGTTTCAAGTATTGGTAGTCATGAGCATGAGAAGCCTAATCAATGGTAAATGCACACTGCTCTAAGTTGAACTGGAGAATTTGGAACAGGTTCACATTGATGAAAAGATGGAATAATACACTGTGGTTTCCTGTAACGAAATATTTAATGTTACTGAAGGATGTTATAACTACTAGAGATACAAATAATAATGATTTCGCTCCATGTCCAATCAATCAGGGGTTAGAATCAGGGTTTGAGGTAATTATGAGCTTGAGTTTCAAACCCCAAATTCTGTTACCTCTTTCATGGGGGAGTGTGACAGATGAAACTATTTCAGATCCAAGAGCTTCAGAAGCAGGAGGCGTTGTAGACAAATGTAAAGGGTTTGGTCTTGCAGCCAACTTGCAGCTATCAATTCAGGAGTTTAGAACAAATCCATCAAGTCTTGTTCTTTCTTTGAGTGTCCTTGAGACGATTCTTGGTAATATTCTTCCCACTTTTGTTGCTCGTAGGTATAGTTTTTATAAGAATCACAGATGAGCCACTCTTTATAGATTTCTCGGGCGATCTTGAAAAATGGAGCCTGCAAGACATTCAAAAAGAGAAAAATGCATCTCTCATGTGAATTCAAGCATCAAACAATGTGAAAAATTATGAGAAGCA